AATAATAATAATAATAATAATAATAATAATAATAATAATAATAATAAGAAGAAGAAGAAGAAGAAGAAGAAGAAGAAGAAGAAGAAGAACTTTAATTGCAAACAAAGCAGATTAACTTCTCTTAATCCTCTATGAAAAATTAAGTATCTTATTTGACCAGATATTTGGCCCTAACAGGCCAAAAAGCAACGTTACCCAAACCTGGCAGTTTTCAGAGGTATGGACTTTGCCTTCCAGAACAGTTAGGGAATAGAATTCTACCATTCTGGATGTTGTAAATGGTGGAAAACTTCACATAGTTGATTTTAAGGGATCCCTTCAGGAAAGGGTGCTTTCACGAACCACTAGGAATTAGAGATGGACAAGATCTCCAAGTTCTTTCTGATTAATGCTAACTTTCCCTGAATTTTCCTGTGTCTACAATTAGTTGCAAATAGCATTGATGTGTTTTCAAGTTAGCCAGCTACAAAAATAAGTGCGGTCCATTAGATGTGCCAGACAAAAACAGTCTGAAAAGGAAGATAGAGCCACAGTATGTTAAACTTTATGTATCTGTATCACAGCTGTGCAATCATTTTTTTTTTTCAGTCAAAAGGCTGTTTTTATCCTTTGAGAGGCATAGCAAGCCAAGGGACACATACATGCAGCCAAGGTAAAGACTAAATTTGATTTGATGTATAAGTGACTTAAAATTACATTAATTAAAAAAAAACATGATTACTTCTTCAAGTAATGATTTCCCCCTCTGGCATCTATCAACATTATCATCAAGCCTTGGATTATGGATGTTTTTCTACATGTATTGAACTTCAAACAAAATAGCATCTGCTTCAATCCCAGCCTCAAGAACCTCAACCATACCTATGATAAAATTGGTCTTGGAAGATGATTGTCCAAACTGTTGTTCAATATATTTTGGCTTATAGGTCACCATGCCAATGTGAGAATTGAATTGGATGATGCTAGAGCAGAGATATAAGAAGTAAACTGGATTTCCAAGGAGGCTTTTCAAGGAAGACAGGAACTCTGGAAAAAATAATGGATACTTGTTGGTTGGAAAGAAGTGAGAAATGAACACGGATGACAACTAGTTTCAAAATTGGTTGATTTGGTAACAACTGTTCACGGAAAATTGGAAGAAGCCTTAGTCATACTCAGATCCTTTCCCCACGACAAATATTTGTAATATATTGCTTTCTCTTTTTGTCATTTAGGAGGCCTTTGACTTTTGCTGCAAATTTTTTGTCTCCATGAAAGTGCCCACAGCCTTTGCAATGGTCAGTGTGTGGGTCACTGCAACCCACATAAAACTCAAGTTGAATCCATTCAGGATCCCATTGCCAATGGGTCAATTGGGTTATATTCATTTTCTTAGTTAGATGTAATTCATCTGTTGCCCTCCAGATATTTTGGACTTCAAAACCTATTGGCTTTAGATTGAACGGTCAATAGCGAGTAGTTATGAGAACTACATTGAAAAGCTTCTGAAGGACATCACGTTGTCCACACTGGCTCTCTTGCTCAGATCAAGGCAGTACTTTGTGCTGAGATTATATATTTATTTATTTTTATTTATTTATTTGTATCCCACCTTTATTACTTTCACAAGTAACACAAGGTGGTGAACATATCCAACATACCTTCCTCCTTCTATTTTCCCCAACAATAACTGTGTGAGATGGGTTGGACTGAGAGAATGACTGGCCCAAAGTTACTCAGCTGGCTTTCATGACTAAGGAAGGGATTAGAACTCATAGTCTCCTGGTGATTGGTCCAAAGTCACTCAACTGGCTTTCATGGCTTTGGAAGGGACTAGAACTCAAAGTCTCCTTCTTCCTAGTCTTGTGCCTTAACCACTAGAGCAAGCTGGCTCTCCAACTAGTTTTCCAAATTATCAAACTAGTGATGTAGACAATGACTATCGAAGTGTCCAACAATGCATCTGTTAATTAGCCCTCACCTTTTGCCATCTTGAAAAAATTGAAGTGGGTTTGGCAAGTGGCACAATAGTCCTTGTTATCTTCTGCAATGAACCTGGATTGCTCAGTAGAATCTTTTCAGATCTCAGGCCTTGGAAGATGCTTGGCTAAGAACCAGAAGGGGATTGCAGCAAGCATGCTAACCATCCCAGCAATTAAGTAGCCAAGCCACCAAGCTCCTACCCAGTGTGGGTCTTTGTGAGTGATAGCTTGGGTGCCTAAGAAGAGAAATGAAGGTGTTTTTTAAAAAAAAAATCAGTTTTAATTATTAAATGGCAACACGATTTTTAATATTGAGTAGATGTCGATTAAGGTAGGCTGGGCAGTGAATGGATCTTACATTGCTCTTTTTGTACTGCTTATAACCTTCCTGATCACATCCTTTAACTCTGGCAATGTGGTTTGGTACCATCATTTTCTGGCAAATTACAATTTCCATTTAATGGAGTTTTTCTCTTTTAATCTGGAGGCAAGAATTCCTGTCAGCTAGCACAATTAACCAGTGGAATGGCTTGCCTTCAGAAGTTGTGGGTGCTTGCTTCATTCGTGGAGGTTTTTAAGAAGAGATTGGATGACCATTTGTCTGGACTGATATAGGTTCGCCTGCTTGAGCAGGGGGCTGGACTGGAAGACCTCCAAGGTCCCTTCCAATTCTGTTATTCTATGATTTGGTGGATTTTTCTTTCTACGTTTTCCTGCTGGTCTCACCTATTTTGATACCAAGATCACACCCACAAAGGTATTATTGCCTTTTTGGAGGGACAAACTCGCTGTAGCGTTATGCCTTTCCCATTGCAGCTTCAGAAGAAACCTTTATCCATGCCTTGTTTTCATAGTCTGTGGTTTGATTTTGGTGTCTTAGTCAAAAATAACGTGGGCATTTTGACTTGTAACAAAGACTGCCATTCATGCTCACCCATGTCTACGAAGCCAATGTCCACATACAGCTTGGCACACAAGGATCCCAAAAGAAACCCCAAAATGGGACCGAGAATTGCAACTGTCTGAACACATCCTGTGAAGAAAGTGGAAAGGCAGATCAGACCAAAAGGAATTCAGCTTCGTTTTTTGAAGAAAGGGAAAAACTTTAAGTCGATCAAACAAAGCGAAAGAAAATAGAAAAATGTAGCAAAACACTGTAGAATAGGAAAAGCACCAGGGCTGGGCTGCTGGGGGTTCGCAGGGGTTCGGGAGAGCCCCTAGCTAAGATTCTGTGCAGTTCAGAGACCCCCCCCCAAAAAAATAATCCCACTCCTGGCTGGCCCTTCCCACCCCTCCCCTCCCAGGAGTCCCCACGCGGCCTGTTTTGGGGTAAGTGCAGGATGCACACGGGGGCTCTGGGAGAACAAGAAACAGGCCTCACGGAAGGTCAGGAAGACTGGAAATGGGCTTTCCTGAACTTCTGGCTTCCAGAGAGCCTCTGGAGCCCAAGGAAGGCAAAAGGGTGGCCCCCCCAATGCCGTGGTGCAGGAGGCTGATTAGGCCACACCCACCATGGTCACTCCAACACAGCAACCAAGCAGAGAACCCGTAGCTAAAATTTTTGAAGCCCACTCCTGAACAGCACTTAGACTTTATATGCTTTCTAGTGCTTCGTAGTACTTTATAGCTCTCTCTAAGAGGTTTACAGAAGTGGTCCCCAACCACCGGGCCCCAGACCGGGACCAGTCCATGGATCATTTTGTACCAGGCCACCTACTTTGCTTGGGTGCCGCCATCTTGTTTGATGGTGCTTGAGAAAGTGCTTCCGGGTGAGCTTGTCGGTCGTCGGTTGGAAAGCGGCGTTTGGGTGCTGAAGAAGGGGGGAGCAGCTTCGAACAAAGAGCCATCCCAATGGCGGTAGAGTCTCGTGTTACTCAGGAGGAGATTAAGAAAGAGCCCAGAAAGCCCATCGACTGCAAGAAGGTACAAAGGAGGAGTTGAAGGTGGTGGGGAGAAGCGGGGGACAGGCTGGCTGGTCGCTCAGCTCGCCTTGCCTTGGTCATGCGTGCTGATGCCGGTACCGGTCCGTGGATCATTTTATACATTTTGTACCGGTCCGTGGTACAAAAAAGGTTGGGGGCCGCTGGTTTACAGAGTCAGCATGTTGCTGTCAACCATCTGGGTTCTCCTTTTAGTGACCTCAGAAGGATGGAAGGTTGAGTCAATCAAGAGCCAGTCAGGATTGAAAGAATTGAACTCCTGGCTGTGGGCAGAGTTAGCCTGCAATAGTGCAATACTGCATACTAACCATTGCACCATCAAGCTTCCTAATACATCTATGAATACAGTCAGTAATATATAACAGATTTATAAGCATTAACTCTGTAAAATCAACAGGACCAGTCTGAATAACTAAATATGAAAGGGATCTGTTTCCCCTAATATACAGTATATCTTGGTTTTATTGTTTTAAGGGCATGTAACTGCTAGAGTCTTTAAAGTATAGAAATGGTGTAAATAAGTACTATTCTTAAATATAGTAACACGTTCTGAATACTGAAATGATAGTTTATTTTGGCATTCAGCAGAGAGTTGAATATTTGGTCGCTTAGATCTCCAACCTTTACATTCTGTATTTCTATGGGAAATGGGCTCTTTCTCACAGCTAATACCTCATTATTCATTCATATCTATATGGTCATAATATTGTTGATGATCATTACACTTTTATGGATGAACAGGACCAACCAGCCCTCCCCTCCCCCCACCCCGCCGCACCCCATGGGCAAATCAGAACCTTATCAGCTACTCAGACTAACAAACTGGAACCCAGCACAAATCATGAAGCAGGACTCCAAAAATGACCAAGCAGAAGCTGTCAAGAACAAAGGACCAATCAGCTACTAACATTACAAAAATGACTAGTTACAGTTGGGCGCAAACCAAGAACCAATCGGAGACCAGCCTTCACCAGCCTGCACCAACTGGAAATCAGCTCAGCTGAAAACTAATCAGAAATCAGGAACCCAGCCAGTCCCACATCCATTGCCTTTGGATTGTGTCTCTGAAAATATTAGCCACAATTGCCAACAAAATATCAGAAAATTTGTTGTCTAGACCACAGTCACAAAACCCTGAAGCCCAACAACTACCCAACATGATGATCACAGCTTTGCCCACCAAAAGTGCACTAAACAATAGCCCTTTCCTCTGAATTTCAATTCCACTGTGCAGCATTTCTGGTCGAAGCTATGAATAGAGCCCTCAACCTGATCTATCAAAACTATTCTTGCATAAAGAATGAATAGAATAGAATAGAATAAAATAGAATAGAATAGAATAGAATTCTTTATTGGCCAAGTGTGATTGGACACACAAGGAATTTGCCTTGGTGTAAATACTCTCAGTGTACATAAAGAAAAGGTTTCTCCAACAATACGGCCTCCACCAATAGGAAGGCCCAGCATGATTTCTAGGCATGAGGTGAAATTAAGCCCCACCCCCAAAATTTAGGCCTATTTAAACCATGCGTTTCCCCGCCATTTCTCACATCGTTCGTTAGAACTACACGAGGTGAAGAGAAATGGGGGGGAAGGGAAGGGGGGGAGAAAACTTGCGTTTAGGAGCGCCATGCAGGTGGCCTAGGCTAGAATACACTGATCTACTTCCAATAGAACATCAGCTGATAGAAGCTCCCCAAAGGCAGAGTCACCAGCTGCTTCTATTGGCCGGTAGAAGCGACCTCAGGGCGAGTGCCCATGCGCACTCCCTTCACCACGAGGCTGTTTCTATCGGCCAATGGAAGCTCCCCAAAGGCAGAGTCACCAGCTGCTTCTATCAGCTGGTAGAAGCGGCCTCAGGGCGAGTGCTTGTGCGCGCTCCCCTCGCCACGAGGCCATTTCTATTGGCTGATGGAAGCAGCTGGTGACTCTACCTTTGGGGAGCTTCCATCGGCCGATAGAAACGGCCTCATGGTGAGGGGAGCGTGCATTAGTTGTTTTTGAATCTACCAGCGGGGCAGGAGAGAAAGCACACACATATCTGTGTCTGGATAAAAATTGTGAGATTGCGACGGAGGGAATGGGAGAAAAAGCCTTAGCCCAAATCTGTTCTTGTTTTGCTTTCCTGCCCATTCTCTGGTCAATCTCTCCAGGGCAGCTTTTGGCCTAAAATCGCCCAGGTCTTGCTCAGCTAAAGGAGAGGCGAGGTCTCCAGAGACTGTCCCTAACCTCCGTCGTTTCAGAGGACCGAACTCATTGCTTCTCAAAGTTAGACTCTCAAGTTTTTCAAAAGTTCTTCTGAATGCCTTGGACATCCGATGAAATCCAGAAATGTCTCGTGATTGAACTCAATCCCCCCCAAAAAAGCAAAGAACCTGCACCTCGTCGCCAAGTCCCTGGTTTTACAGCTCCTCTCTCATCCCGAATTATGCCAAAATAAAAGATTCCGAGGCTGGCGTTGGTTAATTGGTTAATGACGGGTGCTCTTTCAGGCACTCAGAGAGAGAGAGAGAGAGAGAGAGAGGGAGGGAGGGAGAGAGAGAGAGAGAGAAGGAGGCATTGCGGAAGTTCTCAGACTTCACCCAACTGTTAGCAGCGCCACCCATAAGCTGTGGCAGGATTGCCTCGGATCATGTGCAGAGTGCCTTCACTGTTCAACTCCCCCTCCACGACTCAAGGTTCATACTAAAATTAGGCCTTTCCAACCAGCCCCTGCAAATATTCGGCCTTCACCAGAGCAATAGAAAGGAAGGTTTAGCTTCTCCCCAGACCTTCTTCGCTCCAGCTCCCTCCCACCCTCCTGTGCCATGGCGGTTACCCTTTCACACTCCCCCTGCTTCCCCGCCACATTACTATGAGGACCGCTCCCATGTCTCCTCTTGGGAGCCCACCCGATCTCCCTTCTAAGGGTAGCCAAGTTCTGCTGCCTCCTCTTCCCTCTTGGCGGGCTGCCCCTGCTCCCCAAACCAGCGGCGGCAGCAGGTAAAGGGAGGTCGGCTGCCCTGGGACTTTGGCAGGTTGCCCAGAATAGGTCTGGCCTGGGGAGGGGAGGGCGGCGGTGGGAACCCCGCAGATGCTGAGACCTTCCTTCACCAGAAGGGCTTGGCTGATCCGGTGCAGGGAAGAGGGCCAGCAGATGTTTGTGTGTGTGTGTGTGTGTGTGTGTGTGAGAGAGAGAGAGAGAGAGAGAGAGAGAGAAACTCAGCTTGCTTCCCTTCTGCTAAGAAAATTTTGCAGCCACTCTCCCATGCACACTCCCCTTGCCATGAAGCCGTTTCTATCGGCCTTTTGGGAGCTTCCATCGGCCGATAGAGACAGCCTCGAGGAGAGTGTGCGTGCGGGCAGCCACGCCTCACCCCAAAGCGGTTGGTGACTCTGCCTTTGGGGAGCTTCCATGTACTGGGCTGTCTCCTGGTGGCGCCTCCATGCTCTGGACACTACACTGACAGACACAGAAAACCTTTTTGCCACAGCTCACGTTGATGTGCCATCCTGGATGAGCTGCACTACCTGAGCCACTTGTGTGGGTTGTAGACTCCATCTCATGCTACCATTAGAGTGAAAGCACCACCGGCATTCAAAAGTGACCAAACCATCAGCCAGAAAGCATAGGAACTGAGAAGTGGTCTGTGGTCACCACCTGCAGAACCACTCCTTTATTGGGGATGTCTTGCTAACTCCCTCTGCTTTCCACCTGTTGTCTATTCCATTTGCACAACAGCATGTGAAATTGATTGTCGATCAGTGTTGCTACCTAAGTGGACAGTTTGATTTCACAGAAGTGTTTTATTCATATCTGCAGATGTTCAGGTGTATTTCTATATATGCTTGATCTGCATGATCTGCATGTTTGATGTATGTTGTGTTTTTGGGTCAAAGGCCGTAATAAAGGGAGACCACCAACTTCCTTGGTTCAAGTGCTGAACTCTTCTCATTGTTAATTTTTTTTTCTGATATACAATCAGACATTGCATACCTGTTAATTAGGATCATTCTTTACTGTTTTCCATTCCAGGATGACAGAAAATGCTCCCTAATATATTCTCGTGCCACTGTCTTTTCAGATGTTTGAAACCCTCATCCAGGCTAAAGTAGTGACGGGGGACCTGTGCCAGTGATGGCTAACCTTTTTCTCATCGTGTGCCAAAAATGCACACTTGTGTGTGCACACGCCCATGCGTGCCTCCACCCCAATGCAATGCGCATGCAACCCCTGCCCCTGTGTGCATTTCACATGACCCCTGCACATGCACTGCGTGCCTCTGTGCATGTGTACACACCCCAATGCTGAGCACCTGTGTGCATGCGTAGTATGTCCCCTACCCCGTGCAAGTGCCCCCTGTGCATCTCCTCCCATGCATGAGTGGCACATACCCGACAATTAGCTGGCTGGCAGGGGGCATGTGCGCGCATGCACAGTGGGGCTGTTCTGGGTGACCTCTCGCATGCCAGCGGAAATAGTTCTGCGTGCCACTTCCGGCATGCATGCCATAGGTTTGCCATCACGGATCTATGCCAAATGTGTCCTGTGTGACACACCAGGCCATTTTGGTGACATACCAGGCCCTTGGATGCTCAGCAAGCCACGGGAGAGGGCCTTACTCTAGCATAGCCTCTGAGCCCTCCCAAAACCGGGCAAGGATTCTTATGCAATTTCCGGTGGCTCCAGAGCCACTATGATAGTAGGACCCTCTTGTATGACTTCCGGAGAAGAGTATCTTGAGAAGAGAGTACAAAAGAAAGGATGTCTGGAGAGGCCTCCTCCTCTTCCTGTCCCTCGCTCTGTCAAGGTGGGAATTTTCTGAATTTCTGACGCATCGGGTCCAAAAGGTTTGCCATCTAAGGCTAAGTGTACCTGTTGTGGCCTGTCGGCCGCTGGCCCCTCCAGCAGCCAAATCAACATGGGAGTCAGGGCCTGCATCAAGGCAACCGGAGAGCTCTGAGGGGGAAAAGGGAGTGGAGCTGGCAGAGAGACAGACAGAGGCAGAGCCTGGGCCACCTGTCAGCCCTCAGATGGAGTCTGCAGCCCCCATGTCTGGAGGTGGCTGATGAGGAACAGGAGGAACAGCTGGGTCCAGTGCCTGATACGCGGATGCACAGAAGGCAGAGGAGAAGAGAGCAGTGGAAATACATGGGCTGATTCTTGGGAAGAGCCACCGCTGCTAGCGAAGCCCTACCCTGGCTCTGGGGATAAAAGTCAGAGGGCGGAGATGAATAGCAGACAGACTTGTTAGCCTGTGGTGAGAGAGAAACTTTTGTTGGGGCTCCTAATAAAGGAATCATTGATTTAACTTCAGAGGGTTTGTCATGTTTGGGGAGCTGGGTCAGAACAGTACCTAGTACTGCAGGAGATAACCAGGCTGAGCCCATGGAGTGGGGGGTGGGGTGTCAAATGCATCATCAGTCTCAAGTCCCTTTGCACCCACAAGAGATCAAAGCCCACCCCACCTTAAATTCCATCGACCCTTATCTACTGCCAACTTGCTTTGACGATTAGAAGATCAGATTTTTGTAGGGATAGAAGGCAATAAGCCTGTACTCATTTGAACCGCCTTGGCTCCAGGTTTCCTGTGCTTGACAGTTCTTCCTTAATCTACCCTCAGTTTAAACTTCCAGTCCACTGCTCACAAACATTGCTTATCCTCTAAACTCTTTTGAATCCTCCTTAAATTTGGTACCCGCGACCGGATGAGAGGACTTGAACTACAGTCTGACCAATATTATTAAGTCTGGACCAGGGATAGGCTGCTGGGGGCTCACAGGGGTTCCCTAGCTAAGATTCTGTGCAGTTTGGAAAACCCCCAAATCCCACTCCTGGTTGGCCCCACCCATCACACCCCACCCTGCCCCACCCAGGAGTCCCCACGTGGCCTGTTTTGGATGCCGGTAAGTGCAGGGCGCACACGGAGGCTTGGGGAAGGTGAAAAATGGGCTCCTGGAAGTATGGTAAGACCATAAATGGGCCAGTTTCCAGCTTCCAGAGCACCTCCGGAGCCTGGGGAGGGCACAAACACCCCCCCCCGCCGCCGCCATGGTACAGGAGGCCAACAACCGGGCAGAGAACCCATAGCTAAAATTTTTGAAGCCCACCCCTGGTCTGGACTATGGAGGGAATTAAAGACAAATCACAAACTCTTTTACGGCCCTATAATCCCTTAATTTGGAGTAGAGTCGAGGCGACTGGCTGGAGCTGAGCATTTACTGACCGGATGCCGTTCCTGATGCCGCGTGTAGTTCGCAAATCCCATTAAGAAAAAAAAAAAACAGTCACCAATATGATACCACAGAATTATATTTATGTTTTTTTTCTTCACATTGCAACATCCATGTTGTTCATTTTGTGACACAGTATCTCTAATAATTCTGAATATATATTTACTATAATACATTATACCAAGAGGCACTTCCAGTAATTCTGGCAAAAAGGAGCTTCATTAATAGTGTCTAACTTACAAAACAGTAAAAATAAATAATATTTATCTAAAAGATTTCTCCTGTTTCTCTGCCTGTACAGAATCTATTTTGTACAAAACATTTATCAGCCATTAACTAAAAATCACCTAACAAATACTCGTGAAGGGAATATATTAAGTATTGCTACATGTCTTAAGTGCAAGATATCCGTGAAAAGAAAAGCCAGCAGAGATTTCAGTCGGTTTGTGAAAGATCATTACCTAAAAAATTACAAGGCCTTGTTTTTGAAGTTTTTGTTTTAAAGAAGTTTGGTTACAACAATATTGGCAATATATAAATATAAATAATGCAGGTAGTATTATGTGAAAAGAAGACCATGTTTTAAAAAATGGACATCTACAAATACTAAATGCAGGAGGTACAGTTCTACAGTACAACAATGATTGGCAATTCCACTTACTTGGGAGGTATGAAAATGTCACGACTGAACCCCTTTTTCTAAAGCCCCATTTGAATTTAGTGGGACACTGAAGGAGCAAGCAGTGTGTTATTATGAAAGCACAGATACTACTTCTTTCAGCAACTTCTTCAATGCCAGCATTTCTTTCCAATTTGAAATTAAAAAACAACAACAAAGAAACCACTCAGGTAAAGAATGGGTCCTTCTAAATTGCTAGTTCTCCACCACCTTCCAACTTTCCTTTGCTTTGGCTCTTCACAGAATGTTGGGAGTCAACATTGGCTGCCCAACAACTTTCAAGACCTCTTCTTTCTATCTATCTGGATATTCTAGTTCAGAAGGTCAATTCCCTACTAAGATCATGGCTATCAGGGCAGGCCATGGTGGTAGGACGACACCACTAGTTCAACACTAGTTGAAATATCACCTCTTGAAAAATTAATGGACCTTAGAAACATTCAGGTCTGGCTTGAGCACCTTCACCTGTCTCTCCTTTTTTCCCTTATGAAGAAAAGAGTACTTCGTGGTATTGCTTTTGAGGAAACCTTCAACTCTACTGTAAAACCCACAACTCTACTAAGAGACCTTGACAGGGCAGACGAACCAACAATGACTGAAAGACTCAAAACCTGTCAAAGTGAACCGGAACAATGGGTCCCTCCAGCAATAGCCACTATGACTTGTTGAATGCTCAGATTGAACAGAAGACCCAAATACAACTATGTGCTGAAGGTGCACCTCTCAAGTTAGGAATCAACATTATTTGGTCTCAAGGGAAACAAGAGTGAACTGGCTTTAATTCCTATGATGGTCAAATACACACACATTTTTCAAGGATTGCTGGGGATAATCATTCTTAATTTTGGTGCAAATAAGATAGATGGGTGGCTGGATGATGTATCCTAATTTCATGGACATTAGGCATCACCTGTGCATGGAATATTGCAAGAATCAGAGATGTAAATGTTACATTTCTTCGTTCGTGAGTGCAAGCACCTTTTGCTCGTGCGTGAAGCTGTGGAGCTGTGCATCTCCCACTCACACCGCCCCAGAGCTGGGCTGCCAATCTGGAAAGATTGGGGACCGCTGCTCTAACAAATGTACTTAGATCAGTTTCACATCTGCTAGAAATCCCTAGAAAAATCAGAACTGGAGAAGAACAGCAGATAAGCAATCCTCTTTAGATGTGGGTTAGTACAATTGAACAGGAAAAAGATTGACATGAAAACACAAGCACTCAACATCCAGCAAGTACTTCTGTTTCAAACGTAGAACACATTTATAGGCAATTTACTCTGGTTCGTCCTCTGAGAAGGAGAGCTTACATAATAAGTTACTAGAATGTGAGAATGATCTCTGTAACGTGCACTTGAACAGTGGTATCTGCAAGATATTGTTAAAAAAGAAATTAAGATGGTGGCTGTGATGGTGTAATCAAAGTTTCTAAAAAAAAAACCCTTTTTTTCTCTCTTTTGCGTCATATGTACAACACACCCACACAAAAACAGGCAAAGCATTGATTGCATTGTTGTAGCTGCCAATCTTGACTTTTTGGCCGTACTCTGTGGATAACCCTATGGAATGACCATGAGGAGACAAATCTGAGATGTTTGCTACATGAAGATTTGCTACCCGCCATATAACCTTCTCAGGAAGGGAGTGTTTTAACTATTTGCAAAATTTCAAAGACATTTGCTGAGTTATGGGAAAAGCGTGAGAGGTCTGAACTACTTACTAACCAATTCTAACGTGCATTTTCCCCCTCAGTTGGAACTGGCTTAATCTAAGTGAATGGAAGGAAAGGATGTTGCTGGTTTCAAACATGGCTTCCCAGACTGGATGGCACCAAAACACCTAATCTTCTTTTTAAAAAAAAATAAAAATTGAATGGAAGTGAAAGATTCCTCAGAAGCTTAAGGCATCAGTTTCACATCTTAAGAAACCCTAAATTTCCCTCTCAATCTAGCCTTAGCCTCATCTATGTGAACTCTGGTTCAGTGTGGATTGTCAGAACCCAGCCGTTGTGTTTCACAAATCACACATTATGGCTCCAGGCAAATTGTAAACATGGCAAATCATGGCTTATTCAACAATCTTCCATCATATTATATCTTAGGGCAAAATGTGAACCGAGTTTCTACATTCCCAATACATTCAGCAACAATCTGAACAATCTGTGTAGGGATGGCCAAACTGGGCAACTTTTGAGACTTGTAGACTGTAACGTGGCTGGCTGGGGAATTCTGGGAGTTGAAGTCCACAGGTCTCAAAGTTGCCAAAGTTGGCCACCCCTGGTGTAGATTGTGAATCTACGACAGGGCTGTCAAACTTGCGGCCTGCGGGCTGGATGCATCACGCGCTGGCCATGCCCACACCCAGTTTAGCGAAGGGGGAAAAAGTTGCGATACATCATGTGATGATGACGTGAGGACGTGAGTTTGACACCCCTGATCTAGGAGATTCCAGAAAATCAGCTTGGGGGAAAAGCAATGAGGCGAAATAAACTCATTCTGAAGTATTAGTAAGATAGAGAAATGGGTTGGCTCAATAGCCAATCAAATGGAAATGGGACAATCATTTCAGAAATATTGTTGAGGGCACACTTGGTTACAGACTGATCTCCTGCTACATGTACTATCATACTACTGCAAACTCTGTGAGGAACAGTTAGGCTCTGCTGCTAAATTGCAGCACTTTTGTTACACTCAAAGGGTCCCTGAAGGCTGATGCTAAATAATCCCACGATCAGAAAACAATTTCTCCAAATCTTCTCAATCATGCAGGACTTCATTTGTCAAATTCAAAAACAGTTATGTTTTATATGGGGGCTGGGGGGGGGGAGGGGAAAATCTGGTTTTTTTTCATTTTAATTATCTTTACAAATACAACCCAACTT